CTGAGTGGGAAGAAGCGCTGAAGGACGGGCGTCCTTGACACAGAGGTGAGATGACCCCACCTGAGAGCTCGCCCCTTGTCAAAGGGAAGCAGAGCACCAGGTCCGGAAAGTGTGCCTGTGATTACCCAAAAAAAGGTTACTAATTTTAAAGTCCTCTTCTTTAAACTGATTTTCTATGCCCCGTTAGATCATGGGGTTTACAATGTATGTAGACACAAAATGCTGGCCAAGACTGCGGACTGGGAGGGACATGGACGCCATCTGCTTTACCTGAGTTGGTACAACATTAGTTCTAAGTTGAATGTATTAAGTTAAAGGGCCCGTCGTAATTGCGAGAGTGACTCTGACAAAAACAGCAACCGAAGAATCCAACTGGGCGCTGAATAGTAATGAACCCAAGAGAAAGTAGGAGCCGTGGGACGGGGAGACAGGAGAAAGGCACCACGGGCACGCTGGAGGCTTAGACGCGGCTGATCGATAGTCACACTGAAAGCGACAAAACACTCCAGCAGGCAGAGCGAGGCGAACAATAAGCAGCACAGCTCCAAGGACGCCCTGCCCGTGATCGGAGCGATCAACATAAAGAGAGCACAAGGAGGGAGGAGCCGAGCCTCTCATGCCAACAGCTTAAGAAACACGTGAGGGCACACGAGTATCAAATGGACTAGTTATCCAGCGAAAGGGTATTACCAGAGATTTTAAAAAGACGTTGTGTGTATGTGTGGATTGTGATAAGAGTTGTACAAGCCCCCAATAAAAGGATTTAATCACTTTTTTTAAAGACATTGCATGATCATAGAAGAATTGATTCTTCTAGAAGAGATAGCAATAGGTGTTTACGGACATTTTGAACAGAACTTCAAAATGCATGAAGGAAAAACTGGCAGATTTACAATCATAGCTGGATATTTTAACAGTACACTCTCAGAAACCGACAGCACACTAGACTAACACACAGCAAGAATCTAGAAAACTGAACAGTATTACAGACGCTCAGAGAGCAATACACCCAACAAGTACAAACTAAACTTTCAAACAAGCTTGTCTTAGAAAACGTACAGCCAGAACGCTCCTTGGAAGCAAGACTGGGGAGACGTCCCCTCATATACTTGGGACGTATCGTTAGGATTGGGTGAACCTGCTCACAGGACCTCGCTAGAGTGCTGAAAGCAAGGATGTCACTCTGGAGGCTTAGACGCGGCTGATCGGTAGTCACACTGAAAGCCACTAAACACTCCAGCAGGCAGAGAGAGGCAAACAATAAGCAGCACAGCTCCAAGGACACCCCGGCCCGTGAACGGAGCGATCAACGTAAAGATGTCACTCCACAGCACCTCTCTAGAGTGCTGAAAGCAAGGATGTCACTCTGAGGGCTAACGTGCACCAGCCGCAAGCCGCGGTGTTGTGCATGGCCTTGTATGCAGGTGAGCACTGGACACTGAGTGAGGAAGACCGAAGAAGAATCGGTGCACCTGAATGCTGGTGCTGGAGAAGACTGTCCAAAGCACACCGCGACTGCCAGAGAAACACGCAGAGCGGTGTGGAAGAGGTGCTGCCACCATCCTCCTGAGGACCGGGTAGTGTTTCTTTCTGCTGGACACGGGGAGGCTATGAGCCAGAACCGACTCAATGGAGTCCGCCAACAACATGCACCAAAACAAATTGTTTCTACAGAACATGTTCTTCAAATTTTAATTAAAAATCTGTACCAAACTATACCTAGAAAGTGCCAACTATTCGGCTACTAAGCCATACGCCGTATGCAATGGTGGAGGGACAGAGCGGCTGCAACCGTGGGCTCAAACGTAAGGCGGCGGCTGCGGCTGGCGCAGGACTCGGCCATGTCTCATTGTGCCGCACACAGGGCGGTGAGTTGGAACTGACTCGAGGGCACCTAACGGCAACAACTGGCCACATACACGTCTAAATACCGTCCCCTCTCGAGCATAAGCTGACCCCAATATCCACTGAGGCACCTAATTTTGCCACAAAACTGCATTAAAAAAGGTGCTGGAACACTCAGCTTATACACAAGTCTATACGGTAACCCAAGGAGCACAGAAATGAATCATGAGAAAACTGAAAATATTTTAAACTAAAACATGAAAAGTATGACAAATAAAATTTGTAGAGTGACGTCAAAGCAGTGCTCAAAGTTAAACCCACAGCTTTAAATATTTACATTAAAAAAATAACAGGTTTAAAATCAATGATCCCACTTTCTAACTTCAGAAAAAGAGAAAATTAAATTCAACATACGAGGGAGAAAACAATAAAAATAGAAGAGAGCAATGAAATAGGCAGGATAGTAGAAAAAATTAGCAGAAAACTTGGGGGTTTTTTAAATTGCCAAAATGCAAATTAATAAGAGTCTGGCAAGCCTAATGACAAACAACAGAAATCAAGTATGAGTTACTAGTATCAGGTTAAAAAGGGAACCAGCACTACAAATCCCACAGACAACAATAGGGAGTTAGGGTACGTGGATCAGCTTAATGTAATGCCAAGCTGGAATTCTGCTTCCCAGAACTCTCGTCGTTGCGCAGTCTGGGTTAGTTGGGAAGGCAAGCCAAGTTGTGTGTGGGAAAGGCGGAAGTGAATCGGATCAGAAGGCTGGTGCAGAATGCGAGGCACAGTGCAGCTCATGCACACTGGCATGTATCCGCCGGCTCACCTTGTTGGCAGCACCTGGGCCTGCAGCTCCTGCCCTTCTCCTCCTTCAGCTTTTGGGACTCCTGAGCCAGGTGCATGTCTTGTAACCGTGACAGACGGCGCCCGGTTCTTCTGCTGGGAGTTTTAGCGGCAACGAGAGCCCAACGTGGGCTTCCTGTTCTTCCTCGTGTCTTCCAGCTCATCCCTGCGGATCCCAGTGCGTTCCTGCTTCCCCCGCACACTGCACACTAGTCTCCTGCTGACTGCCCTCCCACTGGCCTCGGCCTCCACACCAGACAGGAAAGCAAGTCCCGCATATGCTGTTCAGCCAGCTTCCACATGTATATCAGGTCAAACCCATCTGTTGTACGAATGTATAAACATACACAACACATGCCATATGCATGTCCAGGTGTGTATGAACATGTGTGTACGCACACCCACCCAAAACTACACACATATATCTCTCAGGGGTTCTGCTTCTTTGGTTGAACAAAGGGATTGGTACCAGTTGGTCTATCTTAGTAAATATGACAAGTTAGGGAAAATGGACAGTTCTTTGAAAGGCACGACTCACAAAAACTTGCTCAAGAAGAAATAGATAGCCTGAAGCACCCTATGTCTATATTTTAAAATTATACCAATGGATAGAACAGACTAGAGTTCAGAAATGGATCTATACATATACAGAAAAATAACTTTCAATGGAGATGCCAAGTTTATTCAATAGAAGTATTTTCAACAAGTGGTGATAAAACAATTAGATGGAAAAATACAGAACTTGATCCCCACCTGACATTCACATACATTCAAGATGGACTATAGGACAAAGTACAATTTCTAAAGGAAAATACAAGAGAAAAATCTTTGCATCCTTAAGATAAAGCAAAGATTTCTTAAGATACAGAAAGTACTATCCATTATAGAAAAACAGCACAGGTAAGCCTGATCAAAATGAAAACCTTTTGTTTGTCAACAGACACTACTGGAAAATTGAAAGGCAAGCCACAAACTGAGAGAAAATATTAGCAACATGCATCTAGCAAAAAACTTACCCAAAGCATCAATGAAAAATCCAAACAATCAAATTTAAAAATTGGGGGAAAGACTGGGGAAAAAAATACTGCTCAAAAGATGCGCCCATGACCAATAAGCACACAACAGAGGTGCTCTATGTCCTCAGCCATCAGAGCAGTGGAAGGAAGGCCCACAAGGCAGCACTTCACACTCACTACAAGGACTAACATGCAAACACGGACGATGCCCAATCCTGATAAGAACACAGAAGAGTTTGCAAATTCTCACTCATTGATGGGGGATGGGAATAAGATGCAACAACCATTTCAAAACAGTCTGGATATTTCTGAGAATCGCTAACACCCTCCAACCCATTCTTGTACCCCGTTTTGTTTTAAGCAAAAGAAGTTAAGACATTGGTCCGTAGAGAGATTCGGACAAGAACGCGTATAGCTTTATTCACAACAACCCCAAGCTCGAAACAGCAGCAATGTCCATGAAAGAGGTCACATTAAATGATGGGCATGCCACACAGAGAAAAAGCAACTCATACCTGTAGCCCCAGGGGTGAATTGCAAAACGGCCAAATCTGGAAGAGCACACACTGTCATGATTCCATTTGTACAAAATTTAGCGTCGAGAAAACTAATCTATGGTGATGAAAATCAGCAGAGTGGAGTTACCGGTCATGAGGCTGATGGGAACTTCCTGCAGTGACAGACGTGACCTACATCTCCATCCAGGTATTGACGGACCAGGTGTACACACGTGTCAAACTCATCAACGTGCATACTTAAAATCTGTACGTTTCACCGTGGTATATTCTCCCGCCTTCTATCTTAGCTAGTGTAATTACTTTCATCTAATTAAACGCTTCTTTCCATTCTTTCATAGTTCTCAATGAGTGATTTATATCAAACTTTTTAAAAATTCTAATTGTGAAAATAATATAAAAAGAAAGATCCTTATAAATATGCCAGCATTCAGCCATTGGATGAAATAAATTTCCAAAGCAGTCTATCTTAGAAAACTGTAGGATAAATTTGAGGGGGGGGGATCCTTTAAAGGAGGAGTAATGGAGACACTGCATGTTTAAAAGCTAAGACCTTGAATGTCCTACCCAATTTGTTAACCTAAATATGTCTCTGAAATGTGAGGGACTTCCAGAGAGTAGTGCATGGCCCGTGTGTTTCCATCGGTGGCAAACCTCGGTTCTGAGCTGCTATACACTTCTCTAAGCAGAACGACGATGGGAGAAAGACTCGGGACAGCAGACAGGGATGAGAGGAAGAGGCAGAACGCTGAGAACGCAGGGAGAGGCCAGGCTGTACCTGTTGGGAGAGGTATGTAAATCCGCTTTTCTAGTCGTCTTCTTAGCGCTTCATCAATATCCCACGGGAAGTTAGTGGCAGCCAACACCATCACCATTTTGGAAGGATCATCGTTCTCCAAAGCTCCGCCGACCCCTGTAGGCAGTCAGGGGAAGACAGACACAGTCTTGGTCCGGATGTGCTGAGTTCTGACACACAACTAGCACTTCCAGGTGTTCGGCCACAGTGCGTGGGGCTCAGACGCCAGGAGGGGCTTGACCAGACACCCAGCCAACAGATAACTACAAAACATAGGGGCGCAAATTCCTCTCGCCTAGCCCTACAAGAACATTTTATGTCTGTTCTCACTCCAATTTACTTAATTTTCATTAAGAGGCAACAAATGAGGGTTCACGTTTATATATTAGGATGCCATCGTAATTTTGAAAGTCAGGCTAGACTACAGTTATTTTTGTCTTCCAAAGTTCTAAGTGACTTGTCAAAAAAAAAATTTTTTTAAGGGAGAGAAATCTAAGAATGACCCTTGTAATCCTCAGTGCTGAGAACAGCACTTCCTTTTAGAACCAAATAAAACTGATGTTCACAAGGACTACTTTTTCAGAACTGAATTTTTTACATAAAAAGAAATAAAACTTCATGTCATATAACAGAAATCTAGGAAATATATACATACATACACACAAACACACACTGTAGACAGTATATATGTTTGTGTGTGTATACATATATGTGCACATACATACCAAATAGCTCACAAATTGTGGATGAGGACATGAAGGGGTATACTCAAAGTGTGAACACTTGCTATTCACTCCCCTATGATTTTCATAACCCGAGATTAGCGTGGGGAAAATCTCTCTTACATGCAGCAGGAAACCTCAACAGTCCTCTGAGCCCCTCTATTTTTATATTAGCTGTATTTTGGGGGGCTGGAACCAAACCCACAATATCCCTAGGCTAAGCCTGCACCTGAACCAACCCCAAAACAAAAGCAGGTGACACGGAACCTATTCCATGTGGCCCCTCACCAAGTCTGCAGCCACACACATTCACGGGGGAGGACCGCAGTGGAGACTAGTAAGTGTCAGTTACCATCCATCTGGATGAGCAGCTCAGACTTGACTCTGCGACTCGCCTCGTGCTCGTCGGAGGTGCCTCTTCGACTGCAGATAGAATCTATCTCGTCAATGAAGATCGTGGTGGGGGCATAAAACCTCGCCTTCGCAGAAATGGAAATATTTTAAAGAAACCATTTAATGATCTTATAGCATTTTCTAAAAAATCTGAGTATTACTTTAAATGCCATTCTTCTCCTTTCAAAGGGGAGTTCAAATTTCTCACTGTTTTAATGTCACCACAGGTTAGGGGCAGAGGTGAAATTTATTCACATCAAAAGAAAAAAAAAGAAGGGAAATTTCTGAAAATAAAAGACTTGTCCCATGCTTGGTGACGGTGGGAAACAGGTACGCAGTACACACTCCGCAATTCTACTTTGTGTCCAAAAACTCCCACTGTGGGGACCAAAACAGCAGAGAAAAATCACCAACCCTTATCCTCCAACAGGCATCCTCCAGTAGTTACTGCAAATCCCTCATGGAAAACCAACAAACTTTAATGACAGATTAATCTCCAACTGGTTTTAAGATACATAGTAACAGCTCATCCAGCTCATCGACTGACTCACAGCGCCCCACGTGACAGTAGAACTACCCCACGGGGCTCCCAAGGCTGCCATCTGTACAGCAGTGGACAGCCAGCTCTTTCTCCGACAGGGCTTCTGGGTGGGATCAAACCGCCAACCTTCCGGGTAGCAGCCGAGCGTTTCACTGTGGAACCACCAGGGCTTCTGACAAGCTCGTGAGCGATCCAGCAGGTAGCCGTCCACACACACTCACACACAGCTGAAACCAGACACCTCCTCCTCTCTAACCTTCACTGGACAAGGCTAGGGCCACCTCTCACCTCAGAGAAAAAGATCACACTGAAAATACACCAACTACCCCACAAAAAGTATCACCCTGGTCTCTAAACCCTATCAGGAATTACTAAAATACAATCCCACTTGCCTTTTTTTTAAGAAAGGTGAGTGTGCTGATGTCCTGGGGCGTGCCGTATGCCCGCACAAACCGCGCTATGGACTCAGTCTAATGTGTCACCACTCACCATCTCAAACAGCAGACGGACCAGCTTCTCAGACTCTCCCCTGTACTTGGACGTCAGTGTCGAGGACGAGACGTTGAAGAACGTGGTGCCACACTCGGTGGCCACCGCTTTAGCCAGCATCGTCTTACCCGTGCCTGGCGGTCCGACCATCAGCACACCCTGAAATTTCAAAAGATGTAGACCAGATTAAAATGCTACAAACACCACGCACCCCTTGTGCTCCAAAGACCAGGTCGTTCGTGTCTGAGAAACTGACACTCTGCACAACTTCAGCAACCGCATGCTCCCCAGGCACCAAGAGCCACTTTGGTGGCGGCCTCCGGGGGCTCATCCTGCCCCTGCAGCCGCCATCAGGAGCTCCCGTGGACACGGTGGCCTCTGGGCTTCCCTCCTCCAAACGCCTCTCTCCCCTGACAGGTCTCCTCCTGCACTGAAACCCCCTGTCCCGCAGCTCCCTTTTGTCTGAGCCTGTACTACCCACTGGTTTTGTTGCTGTCGTTGGTAGAAGCTATCGAGTCAGTATCGACTCATCACGCACCTGTGCACCACAGAACGAAACAACCGGCCGGTCCTGGGTCATCCTCACAACGTTCGAGCCCATTGCTGCAGCCACTGTGCCATCCTGTCTTGTCAAGGGCCTTCCGGTTTCCCGCTGCCCCTCCACCTTACCACCGCCTGGTCTCCCCCATGACCTAATGCAGACAGCTCCCGCCATCTGCCTTCGCTCTCCAGCAACAGGGTCTTAAAGCCCAGGGGCTGTGTCTTTAAAAACCGATGGATTTTCCCAAGTACGTCAGCTCGGTACCTTACATCTAATCTTTGGAGTCAACTCTGACTCATCCTGACAGTACAGGACAGAGCAGCGCTGCCCCATGGGGTTTCCAAGGCCGCTGTTTTACAGAAGGCGACGACGGCCGGCCCCATCTCTCCCAGGGAGAGGCTGGTGGGCTTGAAGACCTACCTACTGGCTCACAGTTGAGCACTTAACCACGGTGCCACCTGGCTCCCTCTCCTCCAAGCCCCTGCCCTGGAGGCCATTCTGACTCAGTCACCCTGTGGGGCAGCGTACGACTGCCCCTTCGGCTTTCCAAACGATCATCTTCCTGGGAGCAGACTGCCTCTTCTTTCTCCCAAGAAGCAGCCGGATGGGTCCAAGCCTTCTGGTTAGCAGGGGAGTGCCAATGGCTACATCACCAGGGCTCCTTCCCCGAGAGAAGCCCTTCTTCGCTGAGACGAACACCTGCAGAAGGAATCCAGACTGGCCTCCCCGCCTGGGACACCAGACACAGACATCGCCGCTTCGCTGCCCAAGTCACGCTGGCTCGGTTCGTTATTTTTCTCAGCTATAATTCAAAAACAGGAGCCGGTGACAAAATGGGTACTTTCCCCAAAAAGGGACGCCTGGTGGTGTCGTGGTTATGTGTTGGGCTGTGATCTGCAAGGTCGGCAGTTCGAAACCACCAGATGCTCCTGGGGAGAAAGATGGGGCTTTCTACTCCCGTAAAGAGTTAGTCTCAGAACCCCCGGGCAGCTCTACCCTGTCCTACGTGAGCCGGCACCAACTCGATGGCAGAGTTTGTTTTGGTTAAAAAAAGACAAATAAATAAATTAAAAACATCTATGGAACAAGAAGTGTTCGATTTTCTAAGCGTGTGGACATTTATTTTTAAGTTTATAAATGCCACAGTTAATTTAGATTATTCCTCTGTCTACCTTTCTATGTGTTGTTTAGTAATGTATACATCTTATTAGAGCAAATAAACGCTTTTTAATTACAACATCAGTCATTATAATAAACGCAGCTCACTGAAATATAAAGCAGAACATAAATATTTAATAATAGGAAACATGGCTTTAAAAGTCCTTTAAATACTTATTTTTAAATTGTATTTTCTCTTTTAAATGTTTGAAAAGTCGCAGCAAGGGGAGTTTGTGGCTATGTGTTTTTCAAGACACATTAAGTCTAGGTAACAAGACATTTCGAACCGAGAGACCATCACAGGGGAGCAGGTGCTACAAGCTACTCACACGAACACTTCTCTCTCTGCTGTCATCTCTCTGTCCATCTGTTTATTAAGATCGTTTTATTGGGGCTCTTATAACAATCCACCCATCAGTTGTGTCAAGCACATTTGTACATATGTTGCCATCATCGTTCTCAAAACATTTCTATTTAAGACCTTGGTATCAGCTCCTCTTTTTCCCTCCCTCCACCCCCTGAACCCTTGATAAATTATACATCATTATTATTTTCATATCTTACACCGACTGCTGTCTCCCTTCACCCACGTTTCTGTTGTCCGTCCCCCTGGGGTGGGGGGTGGGGGGTGGGCGGGAATGCATCGATCGATCCCCCTTCCTCCCCTCCTTCCCCCACCTTACCCCGACCCTCCTGGTATCACTGCTCCCATTTCTGTTCCGAGGGGTTTATCTGACCTGGATCCCGTGTCTTGAGCTCTTATCTGTACCAGTGCACATGCTCCGGTCTAGCCAGAACTGAAAGGCAGGCCTGAGGTCAGGATAGTAGAGGGTGAGGAAGCCTTAAGGAACCAGAGGAATATTGTGTGCTTCATCCGTGCTATACTGTGCCCTGATTGATTGATCCCTTCCTTGTGACCCTCCTGTAAGGGGATGCCCCACTGTCTACAAGCAGCCAGAGAATCAACAAGTCCACATGAAGAAACACACCAGCCTGTGTGATCCTGAAGTGTCAACGGGATCAGATAACAGGCATCAGAAGACCCCAAACATAACAACTTATTGCTGACAAGGGGGTCGGAGCAGACACCCCAAACCCATCTCTCTGCTTTTAAAGCTGTCACTTGAAGTGTGGGTGGGGGGTACAGACCTCCCCAGCCGAGGGGGGTCAAAGCAGTGCTTTCCTTTCACTCTGCTCGTCCACAGACAGAGCCCTGGTGGCGCAGTGGTTAGGCTTTGGGCTGTAACCTCAAGGTCAGCAGTTCAAAACCAACAGCTACTCCACGGGCTGTCTACTCCTGTTAAGTTATAGTCTCGGAAGCCCACGGGGCAGTGCTATCCTGTCCTACAGGGTCCATCTGAGTCGGCATCAACTAGATGGCAGTGTGTCTGGTGTGGGGAGTCTGGTCGGCACAAGGAGCCCCTCAGGGGGATGCAAATCTGCCAAGAGGCAATGTGGGAAAAGGTCTGGCTGTCTCCTTTGGGGAACCCCATGGTGCACTGGGCACACGCGAGGCCAACGTGAGTCAGCTCTGACTGAACAGCACGTGGAAAGTCTGAGAAAGGGCCGCTCTTCCCATGGCAACGGCAGGACAAAGCTGCTCCCGGGAGCAACAGCCAGGCAGAAGGGCTAAGTTCACGTGCACAACCTTGGGAGGAAGACATGGACCAAGGAGGCTCCAAACGCTGAGCCAGAGGGCAACTGGCCTCGAGAGGCATCTGGGTGGAGCAGGGAGAGCGGTGCTAGCTTCCAGGACGAGCTTACTGGATCACACTCACACAGCAAGATCACCCCGCCTGCTCTTCACACGCGTGTTAGAACGCTATTTCCAGAGACCTGCATCTCCTCCTGCCCCTGCAGGATGTGGCTCTAACTGCAGGCGCTGGTTGGTCCAGAACCCCAGCTGTCTCTGCGGGATGTAGACGCAGCGCACCTCAACCCCAAGCTCAAGACCAGGTTTCCTCAGGCCCAGTGCTCCCCAATGTGGGCCACCCCTCCCCCTGAGGGGGGTCCCTAGAACAACCCAAGGGGCTGCAGGAGCAGAGCGCTACCCTTTATTCTGGATGATGGGCAGAGGGCAGCAGCTTTCATTGCCAGTCGGGGGCACTGAGTAATTTTTTTCTGAAAGGAGGTGCAGTCCAAATAAGTCTTGGAACTGTGGTCTACACAAAATCCCTAGAGAGCCTGGTGGCGCTGCTGGGTAAGCACTGGGCTGCCAAGTGCAAGGTCAGTGGTTCAACCCCCCCCCCCCCAAGCTGCTCCTCAGGAGAAGGGCGAGGAGTCTGCTCCCACAAAGACTGACCACCTCAGAAACCCCACACGGGGTTGCTGTGAGTCGGAATGGACTCCGAGGCTGTGGGCTTGGATCTCCCCGGCGGGGCCCTGACGGACCACCGCATGCCCACGCTAAGGACAGCGGCAGCAGCCGCTCACCCACCCACAGGCCAGCCTTCTCACCTTCCAAGGCCTTCGAATCCCTTTGAAAAAGTCGGGCATCCACATGGGAAGCACCACAGCCTCCCTCAGCAGCTTCTTGGCCTCCTCCAGGTCCGCGATGTCGTCCCTGTGCAGGGAGGACAGAGGTCCACAGCGGTTGCTCAGAGACGCCTGCCTGCGCCTCCTGGGTCAGGAGGCCAGTGCTTTCCCGGGGACAGTACTTCCACGGTCAGAGCGTTCCGCTCCGTCTCCTGGCTGGAAACGGCCCACGGGAACTCAAAGCCACTCGTTGAGACGCTGATTGAGGCATCGCCATCCAGTCACCTGCCCTGGGTTAGAGCTGAGCTGCTAACCACGAGGTCAGCAGTTCAAAAGCACCAGCCACTCCGAGGGACGGGGCTTTCTGGGAAACCCACTGGCCGCTCTCCCGTCCCACTGGACCGCTAAGCGGGGCAGGGAGTTTGGTTTGGGCTGCGCTCCATTTGAGCACAGCTTCCCTGCCACTCATGCTGGCTTGCTGTCTTCTCACTCTAACGCAGGG